TGCAGACTGATTATATCTCCGGTCTCTGAATTAATATTAACAAGTTTAGATGAACTCAGTGGATCAGTGCTGGTTTGTAAAAGAGAGTAGCTCACCTTACCATTATTATCAATATCAGCATCAACTGCCGTAACAATTTTAATAACTGTTCCCACCGCACTATTCTCTCTTAAGTAAATATTTATTAGTGGTTCAGAGAATCGTGGTGGATTATCGTTAACATCAAATACTTGAATATTAACAGTATTCGTGCTGGACAATGATGGGATGCCCCCATCAGTTGCCACCATAGTTATATTGTATTCGGCAACAATCTCTCTATCAAGCAGACTATCCACTACTAACGAGTAAGAATTTTTGTAATTCGTTTCCAATTTAAACGGGGTTTCATTCATAATAACAGCTTTTACTTCCCCGTTCTTCCCGCTATCTTTATCCACCACAGAAACAAGAGCAATAGCTGTACCTACTTGTGCGTCCTCTTTCACTGTGTTTAACAGCGATGTCACACTGATCTCAGGAGCGTTATCATTCAAATCCACCACTTCTACCAGCACTTTACAATGAGCAGACATTGGAGGGTGGCCTTTGTCACTTGCCTCAGCATGAATTTCAAAGGCGGGGCTTTCTTCGTAGTCAATATTTCCTTTGACTAGAAGTGCACCTGTTTTAGCGTCAATCTGGAAAAGATCTAAAATCCGATCTTGACCTTTAGTTCTTAAATAATATTCTATTTCGGCATTCATTCCATCATCTGCATCTACTGCTGTCAATACTATGACCGTGCTACCTACTGATACGTTCTCAGATATTCTCGTCTTATACAAGGAACTACTGAAAACTGGAGAGTTGTCATTGATATCTAAAATACTGACAATAATGTTTGCTGTTCCTGACTTTGGTGGATTTCCACCATCCACAGCGGTCACAGTAAGTTTGATGGCCGGCTGTTGTTCTCGGTCCAGAGCTTTCAGAAGCACAAGCTCGGCCGACACACTGTCTTCACCTTTGTGGATCTCTAAGGAGAAATAATCATTTCGACTTAGCTTGTATGTGCTAACGCTGTTCTTTCCGACGTCAAGGTCTGATGCGCCCACAAATCCAAATTTCCCACCTGGTGCTGTACTCTCTGCTATATTGAGAGACTGCAGCGTTTCAGAAAAATATGGCGCATTATCATTTATATCAATAATGTTTATCGCCAATCGATACAGCTTTAGCGGACTGTTAACAACAGCCTCCACATTAACAACACATTTCTCAGCTTTTGCACAAAGCTCCTCTCGGTCGATTCTTTCCGTGACATAAAGGCTGCCCGTTTTCAGATTTATGTCGAAATATTTTCTCTTCGGTCCGCTGACAATCTGAAACGTGCGTGCCTCCAAGTCAAGTATTTTAAGATTTAAATCTCTTGCGAGATTTCCCACAGACGTACCCGGATTTACCTCCTCAGATACAGAGTAAGAGAGCTGTCCATATCCCAGTTTCCAGCAGCATTCCAAAATGACAAAGAGCAAATAGATCCTAAAAGGTCCGCGTAACCGTCCCGTTGGCATATTTCTATCCAGTTCTGGAAATGATCATGTGGACTGTAATCTCCATTTAATATTTTGGATAGTTCATGTTCGTCTTAAGGTATCAAAACAGAGAGCTTTGGGAAGGGGAATGAGCAAAAGGGTTTCCGTCTACTTGTGACTCTTTGTAACAAAGCACTGAGGAAATATCATCCTATGAATTTGGGAGGGGCCTGAAATAAACAACAGACATCATGTGACGGTCTAGGACGTCCTCATGTGGCTGTTTGAAATAACTACTTTCGTGACTGGAAAAAAAAAAATCTTTGATAAGAGGTACATTTTCATTAAAAGAAAAAGCAGCTATTCGAAGGGTTAAGAATAGTTTCCCTTTTGAGGAAAAAATAATAATAAAAAGATCCAGATAAACTGTTATACGAACCCACGCTAAATGCCATTAAAAGTGATTTCCATCCTTTATGATGCGCAATGACAGTAAACGAACCAATATTTTTGCCCGATCCTTACGACAAAAGACACTGATTTTTCGCTTATCATTTAAATTCAGCACCATGGACAACGACATAATTCTCAGTAACTATCGTATCCTATCTAAAAAACAACATAGTTCTTTTGACCCACGCAGCAATATATTTTAACAAAATATTCAAAGACATGTATTTTCTACATTTCATGTTTCATATTTAGCTTTGGAAGTTTCAGTTGCAACAACTGTAGGTAATATAAACATCTTACCTTATCTTTGTTAGGTAAAGTCTGAGTTCTTGTAAAAGTATCTCCTCCGTCAATACTGATCAGTTCAGCATCTACAGGTGGAAACGGGGCGGGGAAAACCACTACGTCACTCTTCAGTGTGTCTGAGCTGAAACACACGTCATACTGCTGAGTAGCTTTAGAGTAAGACCAGCTCCCGTCAGGGTGGGTGGTGATCATGGGGGCGCTGTACCTGCTGAAATCACTGTCTGTCCTGTGGCATCTGACAGCTATTAAACTGATGAGACTCAGCAGAAAGATCACAGACACTGACACGATGGCGATCAGTAGATACAAGTTCAAATCAGAGAAGTTGTCCTCCTTTATAGGCACATGTCTGAACTGAGTCTGGACATCAGCTGTGGTTTCAACCACCATCACATCAATAGAAACAGTGGCTGACAGAGAAGGTTCTCCATTATCAGAAACTAACACCACCAGTGGATGAGTTTTCAGGTCATTGTCGCTCATTCTCCTCTTAGTCCTGATTTCTCCGGTGCTGGTTCCGATCCTGAACAGGTTGTTTCCTTTGGGCTCCGACAGGTGATAAGAAAGCAGCGCATTGTATCCAGAATCTGCGTCCACAGCCCTGATCTTTGCTACAAAGTATCCCGCTTCAGCAGAATAAGGGATGGTCTCACTGTTAACAGAGCCGTGCTCAGAGTAAGGAGCTAAAATGTTTGGATTATTATCATTTTCATCCAAGATAAAAACATTAACAGTCACGTTGCTGCTGAGCGGAGGAACACCAGCATCTGTAGCCTGAACTTTAAACTGAAACGTTTTTAACTCTTCATGGTTAAAAGACTGAAGGCTAATTATATCCCCTGTCTCAGAATTAATATTCACCAGAGTGGATAGTGGTAATATGCTACCGACACTTTGTAAAAATGAATAGCTCACCTTACTGTTTTGCTCATAGTCAGCATCAGTCGCAGTAACTCTTTTGAGTATGGTTCCCACTGCGCTGTTTTCCCTGAGGGACACATTAATTTCATCCTCTGAAAACAGAGGCGCGTTATCATTTGCATCAGAAACAATTATAGGAACTATAGTTGTACTTGAAAGTTGGGGGATTCCTTTATCATTAGCAACTATTGTAATGTTGTAATTAGAGACCTGCTCCCTATCGAGTGGCCCGTCCACTAACAATGAATAATAATTTTTGTAGTTTGTTTCCAGTTTAAATGGTACATCATTTTTAATTTCGACCCTCATGTCACCATTTTTTCCACTATCTTTATCAAGAACTGAAACAAGTGCAACCACGATGCCCGCAGCCGCGTCCTCTTTCACAGTGTGATGCAATGAAGTGACGGTGATTTCAGGAGCGTTATCATTTAGGTCCAACACTTCTACCAGCACCTTGCTGTGAGCAGACATGGATGGCTGCCCTTTATCACTGGCCTCTACACGTATCTCAAATGCTTTTCTATCCTCAAAATCAATATTACCTTTTACCTTAATAATACCAGTTTGTGGTTCTATTACAAACATATCCAATATGTGTTTCTGATCTTTGCTTCTCAACGAATACACAATCTCACCGTTCAGGTTGTCGTCAGCATCGGTGGCGCTCACAGTGATCACTGTTGTTTCTATCTGGGTATTTTCGGTAATGTTAGTTTTATACAGTGCTTGGCTGAATACGGGAATGTTATCGTTGATATCCAGCACATTAACGATAATTTGCGAGGCGCCAGATTTAGGAGGAGTCCCACCGTCTAATGCAGTCAGCGTCATGGTGATTACAGCTTGCTTTTCGCGGTCTAATGCCTTCTGCAACACCAACTCTGCAGACACACTGTCATCCGTTTTGTGCACAGCCAAAGAAAAATGTCCATTCAGACTTAATTTGTAAGTATTGACCCCGTTTTTTCCTATGTCTGCATCAGTTGCTTCAGATAATGCAAATTTGACTCCCGGTAAAGTGTTCTCGGCAATGTACAAATTCTGCAGAGTGGTGTCAAAGGACGGAGAATTGTCATTTACATCTAAAATTTCCACGTCAATATGATAAATCTTTAACGGATTATTTATCACAGCTTCTACTTTAAGTGAGCATCTGCGCTCCTCCGAGCAAAGCTCTTCTCTATCTATTCTCTCACTGACATAAAGAAAACCTGTCTTGAGGTTTACCTCAAATAATTTTTTCTTCGATCCTGCAACAATCTGAAACATGCGAGATTCCAGCTGTTGTGTGCTGAGGTTTAAATCCTTGGCGAGATTTCCAATCGGTGTCCCTGGGATCACCTCCTCTGGAACGGAATATGAGAGCTGCCCAGTCACCGATTGCCAGCAGCAGAGTAAAAAAAGGTAGAAATACATCCCAAAGCTGCTCCAGCCACAAGAAAGAGCCATTTCTCTCCAATGTGAATGAAGAATGTAGAAGGAATTCAAAATCAAAACGGATATTTAACACAAAGGATGATAGTAGCCGCATTGAGCTTAATGTTAATAACGTCCAGTGTCTCCTCAATGTCTCTGTAACAAAGAATGAGAACATAACCGTCTGAAAACAGGAGGGGCTTATGCTTATATCTATAAAAATTAGCAGCTGCCTTTGATGGATCATCAGCGACGCCAGGTGGAGAAGGAGCAGAACTACAGGCAACACATTATTTGTTTTAACAATTCAATCAAGTATTATGTGCTTTATCAAAACCCATCTGACAACAATGTTACTACCACAAGGTGCAGCTCAAGTAACTATATGGCAATGAATGATTTTTTTTCTTTCTTTTTTTGCACAATTTCACCTTAGAAAACTAATCTTATTGTATATTAATTGCTTCTCAAAACTCATTTTTATTCTTTGGCATTTAATTAAGGCCTTATACTGTAGCTCTTCAGTTTTGATTTTTTTAAACTTATCATTACATATATTATTTTAACAATATACATGATTTTTTTTTCTTGTAATATTTCTCCTTTTCTTTTCATCAAATTATTTTAGTATTGTTTTTGTACACCACTTTGGTGCAGTTGTACATGATTTTAAAGTGCTATATAAATAAATTTGACTTTGTATTTATTATTATTATTATTACACTTGTGAGTACTATCATCCGTCCGTACTATGTACTATGTCCGTTTTCCTATTTACACATCAATTAGCACTATATTTTGTTTTTCAGTAAGGCATTTAAACAAACAAATATAGCTTCTTCCCATTTTGCATCAGTAGAGACATCCATTTTTCTCTTCTCTCAATCTATTTACAGCAACAATTATCTTTTACTCTGCGCCAAATTGTTTTAGTGAATTATCTCCACAGTTTGCTCGGATTATTTTTGGGATATTTCCACATTTCCCCTGCATCTCCACAGAGACAGCAGTCATGCGCTTATGCAGATTCTCCACTATGTAATCCTGGGATTAGATGCCCGATTCAGTAACTCGTGTCCCATTTCCATTCCTAAGGAAGCATTATTTGATTTGAAAACATTTCTAATCATCTTACAGCCAAAGTCATGTATTCAAAACCAGTTTTAATAATAATAATCTCTTATAATTTATGTGCTTAAATTTCCAGACGTGTCAATGACAATTAGAGTAACAAACCCGAGTTAGAGACATAATATTTAGATAAGTTTGAACAAACATAAAGTTAAATGTAAAAGTCTATATTGTACTTGAATTTCAGTGAGTCATGTGTTTGTAGGTCACAACAATTACACTGCACGCTTCTCACAGAGTTTGTCCCTGGATTATCTTTCTAATAAAAGCACGACACACGCACAGCCAGACATATTCAGCACCATTAGGACAAGGCATAATTTAAAAATGTGATTGTAACAAAACATTTTTGCTTGCTCTTCTGACAACTTTTAAACATTTTTTTTTTCTTCAGAGACAATTTACAACACAATCTGTCTTGGGAAAAAAGAAACATTTACTAAAAAACACAAAATAAAATGTAGAACAGAACACACATGCAAATTAGTTTGTGATTCAACTCCACATAAATTTAGTACTTTATAAGATCAAAGAGTACTGCAATCAACTTTAGTCAAACTGGGTTTGCGTCAGAGAGCATTCCTGTTCGACCTTCAGATCCTTTCCTCCTGAGTAAAAGCTCGTCTGGGGAAACAGCCGCACAAAAATAATCAACATTAAATGCTTCACTATAATAAAACTGTATGGATTTATTTTATTCCTAAATGCACATGAATGTGTATTTTCCCTAATGCTTTATTTACTAAAAACATTTGTTTAACGAATGACTACTTAATTCATTGTTGATAGTTCATATCCTATAATTAATACATAATAGTGCATAAGTTGTGTTTTAGTAAAACTATACAATATTTCATTCATGGTAGTCATGCATGATAACCGTCTGCGCCTGCTCCTTTAAACATGTTTCACTCTTCCGGAAGCATCACAAGGGATGGGACCAAAGAGGGCGATGCGTGGTAACAGAGAGGGGGGGGCTGCAGGGGGCGAAGGCAGTCAGTCAGTTTAGGCGTTTTCCCTGCATTATTGATCAGCTTCCACCACATTTAGTAGCTAAATGTGTTCCGTCACTTCTGTCTGATGATTTCCTCAATGGCTGTTTGCAAAGCTGTCAGCTGTGTGCACAAGTGGGAGTAAATCTGGACTTCACGGGCGTCTCTACTGTATCGTTCACGTTGATGTCTGTGGATGGGGGGCAGGGTGCCATCTGAATGTGCTCAGAGGCCAGTCCTCCCCCTTTTCTGCTTCCTCTCTTCTTGTGCACTGCTCTCTCATCTCCATAGCAACTCCATCATGGATGTGTTTTCTTTTTTTTTTTCCCAAACACTCTCACACACCCACACTCACGCAGAAAGCTGTTAGTTTGTCTTTCACAGCAATAGGGAAACAAAAAACAGCATACAAGATTGTGAAGCTACTTACAATTTTTCCTGTTGTGTACTTTAATAAAACTTTCATTTCAATTAATAAATCTTATCGCATCATAGTAACACTTGTGGAAAAAAAGATATATATATACTTTCATCAAGCAGACACAAGCCCTGGGTTGCTCATACATTGGTAATGTAACACTACTGTAGCATATTTACTGATACAGCAGTGTAGCAAAAATAGAAGGTTTGTTCTCATCCCTGCAGACCCTGAGAGAGCCTGACCTTTGCATCCTGCCATCCCCCCCACCCACTGCACCTCTGAGCCCCACATTGCCTTGCAGAAGTTGTCCAGCAATCACATGTTGAGATATTGGCAGTATTTTTCAGTCTGAAATAATACAGCTCATTTTGACACAAGAGGGCATCACAATTCTTGTTTAAAAGTGCTGCTTTATCTACTACTATTTCCTTCTAAGTCACAGTTTTTTTAGAGATCTTCTTCTAATAAAAGGCTAATAAAATAGCCTCGATTTATTCATTTAAATTCCTTGTCTGGCCTTTAAGAACCAGATGTTTACATTAGGTTTTAACAAGTTTGAACAAGTTCCACTTTTGTCATGTCAATTCATTGATAATCCCCCAAAACCTTTGGGGGGGAAAAAAAAAAAAGAAAAAGAAAAAAAAAACATCAAAATGTTTTTAATCAGTCAATGTGAGATGAGGCTTTGAGCTTAATTTGAGTCTGGGTAAAGCAAGTCTCACTTTACCCAGACTCTTTACTGTGAACACTGAACCTGACCGAAGTGAGGCCCAAAGTGCTTCCATGCTGTTCTGAGTTATTTTGTGACCTCCTGTGATGATTTTAGCAGGTTGTTCAGTTCTCAGTAGCCCCACACCCGTTCCTTGTTGTTTTACAATTTGTGGACATTGGTTCTGCTCACTGTGGTGAACTGAAAACTCTTGTCCAGATGGGTTTGATCTCATTTCTCATCTGTTCTTAAATTTCTTAAGCTCAAGTGAGACTCATAATGTCTGTCCTATAAGACAGGTTCCGTTTTAAGTTACTTCGTCATTGTGAATCTGAGCTCTTCACAAGGTTCAGTCAATTTAGTCATGATTTAATAAGACAACAGATGTTTCTTCAAAATAGGCTCAGGTTGGTTCGGATAGCATTATTTTTCATAATGAATTAAATCATAATTTCAAAAGGGAACTTTTCATTTACTAGGGGTTTCTTTGTCTAGTTATTTAAATTTATTTGATAATCTGAAGCATTAAAGTAAATTTACAAAAAGAGCAAAAACTGAAGAAATTTGCAAGGTGACAACAACAATGTGTTTCTATCATTAAAAATGTAATTAGGAGAGGTTTCAAGTAATGAGAAGCAAAGGGTTTTATTACTGAATAAAGAAGGATCTAAAGAAATAAATTTGCAGACATTGCAGGTAATAGAAAAATAAAGATACAGCAAAAATTGGGAGATATGTACATGTACTTTTTGTTAGTCAAACACACACAGTGTTAGAATACATGTGGCTAGTTATACGTTAGCTTTATCCTCTTTTGTCTTCAATATATTTCCTGAAAGAGTTGAAGAGAAATATAAAATTTGAGTCATCCATACTGTTTAATCCTACTACTACTTAATCATTTATTTCCAAATCTGTGCTTGTCTCCTCTCATTTCTGGAGTAAGTAGGGCAGGGGTGTGTCTATGGAAACATGTGCCGGAACAAAATGAAAAATCAGGACAAGGCAATATGGAGCATGCCCAAAATCCAGTCACACATATACACACACACTGAAGGCCACAGTGGGGCACATTGTTCACTCTATTGGAAAGTAATGGAACGTTGCCTAAAAAGAAAATCATTTAATTAGTTACTCTACTGTGAAACAACATGTATGTACACATGCTGCGTGATTATGTTGATGCTCTTTACACATCGCTAACATTTTTATGAAAAAAAAAGAAAACCAGATGCTTTAAATATCCAGCACTGTGCTATTTTAATACTGTTCCTGATGAGAATGGAAAGAAAACGTTACAACGCATCTGATCATTAATGATCAGAAATGCACACTGTAATCTATTTATAGCTTCCGGTAAAAGTCGGTGTATATATATTGCCGTAGTTACTTTAATTATTAGGATTTGTATCAGACTATCAAGAGTCACTTAGTGTCCATTATGATTTTTTTTCTGAACTACAGTTGTTTGTGTGAGAGCAGGAGACAAAATGATGGGAGAAGACACAATGTGAAGCCCAACTTAAAGGACAAGGTAGAGGGCAAACTCAGGCTTATGGTAGATAAATAACAAAAAAGACATCAGAAGTCAAATCTAATAAAAATGAGGCAAAAAATAAGGTGTAAATATCATCAAATTTGATTGGAAATCCAGAATTATAGTGACTCTAATAGACTCTTTACTCAAGCAAAAATCTCTGCCCAGCATCAAAGGCAGGGTCCATCTGAAACACCCCCTCACTGCGCACTCACATAATTGATTCACTATCCTCTCTCCTGTTTTCATGGTGACGCATATGCAGTCTCGTTCAGGCCCCCCCTTGCATCCTCCTCCGCCACACCCTGCCTTATGTCACTGAGCAGCAACACCATAAACAAAACACTTATTTGCTGATCCCTATCCCTCACAAGTGAATTATAATTAATACATTTATCTTATGTAATTAAAGAATTTTACGTAATACGGATATTTAACAATTTACAAATACCCAATTTTTCCATTGGGTATTTCACTTTTTATTACTTGATCTCTCAGATGCTCCCTGAAGCCAACAGGCTGTATTTGGTTGGATTAGGAAGAAATCCATCTTTCAATCCCGGATTTGATAAATAAAAATGCTCACCATTCAGTGGGGATGTTTGTGTTTGAGTCAGACACACTGGGCAAATGGGACAGAACCTGCTATTTATGGATCAATAGTCACACAGATAGTCAATAATAGTTCCAGTCATGACAGTGTAACATTCACAGTGGCGACACGCTAAATAATTGAAGGCAAACAAACACACAAAAAGCGACAGAAATGTTTGCATTTTGCCACAAGGGGGAGCCTTTTCACCCTCTTCTTTGTTCTCCGTAGGAGTTTCCACATGTCCAGACATCCTGATGGCAGAGGCGGGGGTTGAATATACAACGCTCTATCAGATTAGCACTCTTACACACTTCATAAATGGCATCAGCATTACAGCTTCACCAGCAGCCTGAGAGTGAAATGCCGTTTCTGTGGCTCCGGATATTTAAATGTCAGCTGTTATAGATTGCAAATGGAGATGTGGATGTATCTTGCTTAATAGTACCTTCCTCTGGTTGAAATAGCAAAATAAAAAAAGAAGAGACATTGAGAACATCTTCTTATCTTTAACTGCAGATCATCCAAAAATGCGGGGCGATTATTGAGTATACAGTATTAGTCTTTTCAGTAAAACATAAAGAAGCACTCTCTATCTGCACTTTTGTGTTTTTTGCACAAGCATATTCATGCAGTTGTGCAGGTTATATTTTTATATTCTTATTAGTCATGCAGCAGAAGATGCATTAGGCAGCACTAGATGTGAAAAGCATTGCAGGTGCAGGCCAGGGCCATGGCCTGTTTCTTAGAAAAAAAAAAAAAAAATGAATGAATAATAGAAGAGTGTGCTGGTCTGCAGAGAGAGTCTTATGTTAGAAACTGCTGGAATGATTTTGTGAGGTTGCTCTACTTTCTACAGGATATGACGACGACTATTTATAAAATAATGACTTGCCAACCAATCATGTGAGCTCTGGCTGACACTTTCCAAAAATAGTAAACGCCTTCCACTCTCATCACCCTCAAAACTAAACATATATAGGAGACCAACCTGAGCTTCATCAGCCTCAGGTTTTCATAAAGGAAAGTGCAGCTGAGCTTCAACTTGAATTATTGCCGTTTAGGATTTTGGTCCGAAGAAATACGAGTATTTGTGTGTGAATGGCTATTTCTGTGCTGCGCTACATTGCTGTACATTATAGTGTTCAATCAAATGTAACAACTTTTTTCACACATTCTCAGTAACAAGAAAACACAAGCCGAGTCAGAATTCAAACTTGCTTATTGTAAACAACCGTTTCAGGAGAAATTATCAAAAAATATTGAATTTAAGAAACCTTTCGATGAACATATCAAACTCCAAATTACTTTCCTACCAGTCTTTTTTTTTCTCACTTTTTCTGGGCCAACTTGTCAATTTAAACACATTCAGT